AACCAAATGCTTACGACGCGTTGCACCAACACTTGGGTGTTGTTCGGGCACCAGCTAGGTATGCAGCCTCTGCTGGACCAATCGGAATACTCGTTGAAAAACACTAGACATACTTTGTGACGAGTGCTTGCTGGCCTCGGAATTTCTCAAGAAAATAATGAAGCGCATCACGGACATGGTCAGATACATGACTGGCCGTGTGGATTGTGTAAAAAGTATATCCGCATCGGTTTAGTACTCGAATGACCACAGTAATTACTGCACAGACAGCTGGACATTCAAGCGTGGAACCAAGCACGCTCTAATAGCTAAATCTTCCACATCGTCAGTATAGGGACGAAAGCACTGTGAGCCATGTCCCTAGGCATTGACAAGTGGAGGTCGCGCAAGAAAGAAGAGTCGATCTAAATCTACACCAAGTCACTTCCAAGATACTGGTATGATTTGGCGTAAATCCTGGTCGAAATCGTCTGCTAATAAAATAGGAGGAACGAGAGAGGCGTTGGTAGTGGCAAGTATCGATGAAAACTGCTTTGACAATGGCGTTGTCGCTCAGCGCTCAGCATTTAGCACGAGGAAGCAAATTTTTGGACCTTTCGTTATCAGTTATCAAAAAAATTTAACGTGAATACAAATTTTCGATCTCCGATTCACTCAGCACTCGGGCCGTGCCGAGGAGTGTGGGACACAGCTCTTCACTGCTCCTTCAACGCTCCCGCAAGACGTCGTACCATGGCTTACGACGAGCATGCTGACATTCTTGGCGGCCCCATCTTGCAGATACCAAATACTGGTATTCTGGGTCAGTGGTCCCAGTACTCGATTCTATTCAGGGCCAGTCTCATCCTAGCACTTGGCCTATTGGTATCGCTCATCTCACTACGCGCCTGGGACATATGGAAAAAAAATCAGGAATTGGGTTACAGAAAGTGCGTCATTCTTTTCACCTTTCTTTAACCTCTGCTCACGATACTTATGGGATCAGAGCGATGCGTCGCAAACATGGAATCCCAGACTCGGACTGTCGTCCCTTTGCTGTAGCATATGCTGCGGCTACCCGGGCGCGCGCTGAACGTGAGGCTCAGGACAGACTACAGGCTAATAACGTCACGGAAGAGTCTCCGGCGATAAATAATCAAGTTCCGTTGCCAGACGCGCATGGATTGAGGCGAAGGGCGGCCGAACCTGGTGTGTGGAACTTTTTTGTGATTTGTTGTCTCGATCTGATCGGTATATAGCTGTCAAGCCACATGTTAATCAACTCCCTGCCACCAGACGTGTCATTTCTGGCTTTGATCACAAGCCTAACGGATTAGACTTTGCGCACCGATATAATCCCCGCCTTCGGGATGGCCTCCTTCCTCTCTCAGGCGAGCCCCTAACGCCTATGAAACGTTCTTCCTATCGTCGTGCTAGCAGAAAGGATCTCGTTTTCGGCATGAATGCGGCGGCGGAAGGCAAGAAACGAGCTTATGATCATGAGGGCAACCATGAGCAGGAAACATCAAAGAAGTCCCGTGTTGATAGTGATGACCTCATTGATGACGATGATTTACTCGAGGAAGAGGACGAGCTAGAACCCGCCCAACGGGGATCAAAACGGACTTTTGACTTGGATGAGGACGCTGATTATATGCGCACCGATGGTCGCGACAAGCGCCCTCGGAATATGTCACGGGCTCAGACACCTGAAGACCAGGAAATGGAAGATGTCGAGGACGATGTCGCTGAGTTGCACCCAATTCCTCGTGGGAAGAAGCGTGATCGTGCTGAGGCTGGCTCAACGTTTGGCGGTGATGATGAAGAGGAGGCATTAGATGATGAAGATGACAAATCTCACCGTCATCGCAAGCGTCGCACGGTTCGTCCAAGAAAATCAGATGGCTCTTCTCGCGGTAGGAAACGAGATCGTGATCCTGAATCCCCAGCAAGCGAGGGCAGTATTGGAGGTTCTCATAGGCGCAGCGAGCGCACCACCAAGAAGGAAAGCCACTTCCGTGGCAGCCAACGATACCCAAGACGGCTCGCAGGATTTCCTTTGCAATGGTCGAAAGATTGGTGAAGAGTGGGAATCGAATGGCGTTCAATATAAGGTCGGGAATGAAGGCGAGCGGCTTCGTCTCACTTTGGTAAAAAAGGCTCGGAGCAAATATTCAATGGTAGGTAGTGGCCCCTTTGTCGATGTGTATGTGGAACTAACCGGAACACAGCCCAAGGATTCTCAGCACCCAGATCGACAGGCTAATATGGAGATCTATGTGGAAACTTGGCTGACAGATGAACAATACAAAGACGCTGAGGAACGGCAAGAACTTGTGTGGCAGGAAACGCCTAGAGCCTCGAATGAGCCTAGCCCCGGTGAAGCTCCTGTATCACCAACAAAGACGGGCAAAGACCTGCTCTGGGATTCGATCAAGAACAGTCCCATTTCTAGCCGCGCCTTTCGCCAGTCATTAACCAATGGTTCAGCCCGGGTAAATCCATTTAAGCAGCCTTTGCCGCAGGCTTCAACTGGACGACGTGTTGCCTCTTCAAATACACATACTCCACTATTGATTCCTGGTGTGGTCGAGGGTCCATCTCGTCCGGGATTCCGTGCATTTTCAAAATGGGAGAAGCAGGATCTTGAGGCTGAGGCGATGGCGAAGATGCGTGCACGGATGCTAGAGCAGAAGAAAGGAGAGACCCCGCAATCAAAGGCCTTTGAGCTTCCGACTAGTGCCACGGCGCCTGAGCTAGGCTCTAAAGCTCCGGCTGTGCCCATCATTACATTCACCCCGCCACCGCCTACTGCATCCACGTCTGGTGGCACGGAGACAAAGCTGACACCATCATTTTCATTTGGTAATACCTCAACGAGCACGGATGCCTCAAAATCCGCTGCTCCTGGTGGGTCTCCCACACCGGCAAGTGTCACACCTGCAGCCTCAGCTCCAGCTGCCAATAAACCCAGCCTATTCCCTACCTCGTCTACTCCACAACCAGCCCCCGCAGCACCAGCGCTTTCATTTGGCCCGCCCACGACACAACCTCCTCCTACTACCACCACCACCACCGCACCTACCTCATCATCCGCACCCTCTATACCCAACTTTTTTGGCAAGCCAGTTGCAGCGCCGACACCTGCACCCGCAGCAACTACAGTTCCTTCATTTTCCTTTGGTCCCACCCCTGCACAGCCGCCGTTCGCTGCACCTACTTCCGCATCAACAAATCCCTTCTCTGCGCCTGCAGCATCAACCACTGAAACCAGTAAACCGGTACCATTCCCCTTCGCAAAACCCAGTGTGCCTCCTTCTTCGACACCAACATCTACATCGGTACAACCTAACCCACCGTCGACATTTGGGGCAACTTCGAGCACCGTTAACCCGCCGTCGATATTTGGGGCACCTTCAAGTAACGCTGCGACCTCTACTCCATCCGCACCTGCCTCGTTGAAGTTTGACTTTGGCAAGAAGCCTACTACAACGATCCCCAAGCCTGCTGCTACATCTCCCCCTACAACAACTTCTGTCGACGCCGCAAAACAGACTAACCCTTTATTCACGTTCTCGCCGGCTGCTCCTCATTCCAGTCCCATGGGATCGAGTTCACCGCAGAAGTTCTCGTTCGGTCAACCCACGTCGGCATCAGTATTTGGTTCTGGTTCTGGTAGCATTACCACTGTTGCATCAAAACCTGCTGAGACCTCAGAAATGCCTAAGGCCAAAAGCGCAGAGACTGAGACGCCCAAATTTTCGTTTGGTCCGCCCCCTGGTAGTTCAGTATCTGGTTTTACAGGTACTTCATCAGCACCCAAGTCAACGCCGAGCTTTGGAGCACCGTCGGGAATATCAGCCTTTAACACAGCTCTGTCGTCGGGTGGTGATGCGAAGAAGACGGACGCGCCACTATCAATCTTTGGTGCCGCAAATGCTACCAAGGAAGATGGAAGCAAGGTTAGCGCTTCTACACCTGCAGCCTTCGGTGGTTCCAGCTTTGGTGCAAATGCAAATACCGTCTCGAGTAATATCTTTGAGAAGTCCAGCGTTCCACAGCCTAGTGGTGCCGCAAGTACGTCTACATCGACTCCCAAGAGTGTATTTGGCAATGCCACGTCGAGCAATACATTCTCTACCACTCCTGCCGGATCTCCTGTTGTATTTGGCAGTGCCCAACCAGGCGCTTTCGCGTTTGGCAATGGGTCAACCAAGCCTGTAGATAGTGCGAAGCCGTCACCACTTGCTCCTCCAAGCAATACTACTTCTCCCATCTTTTCGTTTGGGAAGAAGGAAGACACTGCAGCGCCTTCTTCATCCGGCACCAATGCTTCCATTGCACCTGTATCATCGACGCCCCCATTTGCATTCGGATCTTCTGTGTTCAGTCAACCTTCCGTAGGTACTTTCAAATGGGCCAACGCAACAGCAATCGGTCTTTGGGAAACCGTCGGCACCTACGCCTAGTGCATTTGGTTTTGGCAGCGGGGCCAGTGGAACTGGAACTGGAAGCAATACATTTGTTTTTGGAGGTCAACCCGGAGGCCAAAATCAACAGCAATGATGTACTTCCATGTTTTTGTATATACTCCAGTGGGACTGCATACGTGACCTTGTACAGCACATACCTCTTTCTGTATTGCGTTCGTCCCCAGTACTTCATACAAGTATTACATGTCTCATCGCACGTCATTGTTTGTTTTTGTACCATCACGATTAATGTGTTCGGGGCATTCAGCGCTATCTGATTGGAGGCTCCTGCATTTAGCAGCCTGATACTTCTGCTTCAATACCCACTTCCACCAGTATCGTATCTCTTATAGTCGATATAATTAAACGACCCAAGTATCATTGGTCGTTGCACTTCGTGCTTGTGCACAGGAGGCGGTCTAATGATCGATGTAACATTCGACGAGAAAGAAGGCATGGGATCGTGATGATAGTATAAACGCGCCAAAAGTGCATTGTCACAGTCCTGACGATGCTTATGGTAAGGCAAAGTGTGTTTACAAAAAGAAATGACCACCGCAGGGGTCGAACCTGCAATCTCCTGATAACGTCATCGTAGTCAGACGCGATGCCATTTCGCCAGGCGGCCGTTGAAACAACGGAATGTGCATGTTCCATATGCCACAGACGTGACGAGATTCCCTATTACCAACAAGTCAGAACTACCTCCACCATGTCCGTCTTGTTCGAAACTTCTCTAGGCGACCTCGTCATCGACCTTGAGGTGGAGCAGTGTCCCAAAACATGCGAAAACTTCTTGAAACTTTGTAAGGTATATTACTATAATCTGAATGCATTCTTCAATGGTGCGTAATTCTCCCTTCATTGGTACCTTTGCCTTAAATAATGGTGTCCAGTATCCAAAGATTTCCTAGCCCAGGCTGGTGACCCCACTGCCACAGGAACAGGTGGAGAATCAATATGGTCCTACGTTGCCTCGCAAGAGAAGAAGGATAACACAGCCGCGCGATATTTCGCCCCAGAAATCGTGCCAAAGTTGAAGCACACCCATAAAGGCACTGTGTCCATGGCTATAGCACCCTCTGTGAATGGCGAAAAAGGTGGCTGCGGCAGCCAATTCTTCATTACACTTGCAGACAACATAGATTATCTCGATGGGAAACATGCAGTTTTTGGACACGTCGTAGAAGGGTTGGAAACGCTGGACAAGCTGAATGACGTTTTCACGGATCAAGATGGGAGACCATTCAAGGATGTGCGGATAAGACATGTGGTTATTCTCGGTGCGTTACCTAGGTGGAGCCTGACGTCTTCATGTGCTAATGGACATTCATAGATGACCCATTCCCTGATCCACCCAGCCTGATCCAGCCCCCGTCATCTCCTACTCGCCCCCCAGATAATTCCACTAGGATTGCTGAAGATGAAGACCCACTTGCCACTCTTCCGGATGAGGAAGAGGAGCGTGTACGCCGCGAAAAGGCCGCAGCAGCCTCTGCGTTGACGCTCGAAATGGTTGGCGATCTGCCTTTTGCCAACGTCCGGCCACCGGAAAACGTCCTTTTCGTGTGCAAACTCAACCCTGTCACACGAGACGAAGACTTGGAACTCATCTTCTCGAGATTCGGCACCATTATGAGTTGCCAAGTCATTAGGGACAAGAAAACTGGCGACTCATTGCAATATGCTTTCATAGAGTTTGATAAACGGGATGACGCAGAACAGGTTCGTAGTGCACAGCTTCTGCATAGTAAAATGACTCAAGGACCTGCCAGGCCTATTTTAAGATGCAAAATGTATTAGTAGATGATAGACGTATATGGGTAGATTTGTACGTGCGAAACCCACTTCAATTGTCTTTGTCTTACCTCATCTACACAGCTCGCAGTCCGTGGCACGGCTCAATACCTCCTGGTCCAATAACCCCAAAGTGGGATTGCACAGAAAAGAAAGGGGTGGGTTTGGCGGTCGCGAAGACTTGGAAGAAACTCGACGATACCGGGCAGCTGGAAGAAGCGATGGCAGAGATGGTTATGGAATGGTGTTCGAAGTCCCACATGACAGAGGAACATCACGTAGGAGTAAACGTGATCGAGATAGTGAAGACCCTCGAGATCGGCGCCGACGCTCTGTCTCTCCTGTGCCACGCAACAAATCCAGAGAACGGCGCCACAGCAGAGATAGACATTCTCGGGATCATAGGACACGCCGCTAGTGACAGATCTGAAACTGAACACCGTGCTTGTATGTTTTTACTCATTGTGCTTTGTGTGCCAAAATGATTTGCCCCTATGAGGCACCCCACTGGTCTAAATTGTGATTTCCACCATTGCTGTGCCGTCGACTAGCTTATAAGCCTGGATTCGCTCAATGAGAACTGGAAGCCTCTCTCTCTTTTGGGCCTCTCCATAATGACGCACTCACACAATGACTTTTACGCTCCTGACTCTGATATGCTTCTGCTCTCAAGTGACGATGTCAAATTCTGCGTCCACCGTTGCATACTAGCGGCCGCTTCTCCGTTCTTTGAACATATGTTTGCATTACCACAGCCCCCTGATGATCCGAAAAGCGAGGAACGTCGTCCTATGATACCCGTGTCGGAATCTGGCTCAACCGTGCACACGCTTCTGTGTTTCGTTTACCCCATACCTCATCCTACTATTTCATCTCTTGACGAGCTCAGCACTATTCTCGGAGTTGCAGTCAAGTACGATTTCCTTGGGGTCATCTCCACTCTCCGCAAGCAGCTTGTCTCCCCTGCATTCTTGAGAGAGGATCCAGTACGAGTGTTTGCAATTGCGAGTCGTTACGACTTCGAAGATGAAGCTCAGGTTGCGTCACAACACACGCTCTCCATCAACATCCTTGACTGTCCATTGTCGGATGACTTCCGTTTCATCACAGCCCACTCTTACCATCGCCTCCTCGTCTTGCACAAGAAACGGTCGAAGGAAGCCCAAGCGCTCCTCAAGATTCCAGATGACGTGAAGTGCTTACAGTGCTCAGGGCCATATTATGGAGCGTTTGTACCGCCCAAGTGGTGGAAGGAGTTTGAAAGATTGTCAAGAGCGGAACTGGAAACACGGCCAACCACAGACGTTATCTTCAGCATGCCATTCTTTGCACGGGCCGCCGAGGCATCGGGATGCGCGCGATGTGCGAGTAGCATTCTGGACTCACATCAATTCTTGTTAGATCTCAAACGACAGATCGACGAACTTCCTGCTACTATATGATTCGTTTATCTTCACGACATTATCATTGTTATGCAAACTAGGACTTCTCGAGGACGTTCTTTTCATGCGCCATTCTACATTAATTTCATCTCAGTACTGGCATTGACTCGCCACAAGAACCTATTTTACGGTGCCATATTGCCACCACGGTGCACGTTGTAATGATATATACTCTTAGATCTAGTAACATTGCCATGATTACTGTAATTGTATGCATAGCTGTCCATGATATCACTTCAAGTTATAAGAACTATGTATACCAATCAGTTATGACAAATGCTAAAATCTCGGACGTTGGTGATATTAAGTTGATCCCTAATACAACGGTGCCTGACTGACTGGTGTCAAGTTCGAGTGCTGCTTAGGCGAGTATGTATGTAAGGCCGTAGGGCAGCTTATCCGACGTGTGGGGAAATGCCGTAAACATCTTGCGATAAACGTTTGCACGTAAAGTTGGAGTCGACTAGGGGGAGGACTGGGGAGGACCGTATACGTAGGAGTCCGTCGTACGTCCGAAGGATCATATGGAGAAAACAGGAACTAAGTAGAAAAATAAAAGTGAAACATTATTCAGAGATACCCGAGCTGATGAGTAACCAGGTGAGCGCGTGACACATTTGCTTGGACTAAAATTAAAGTCCTGGGCAGCTCTTCCAGATCTACCTATCTCTACGACTTTGTCTTCAAGATGTCTACACCACAGCTGGCCACATTCAAGGTACCTGCAGTCGAAAATGAACCGATGGTGAGTCTATGTAAGCTTTACGACTTACTCTTTCTGATGCTGAATCATGTCGGCAGCGAAGCTATGCTTTGGGATCAGCAGAGCGCAAGGGTCTCGAAGCCGCACTTGCTCAGATGCAACAGGAACTTCCATTCGAGGTTCCCTGTATCGTGAACGGCTTACCGGTTTGTAAAACATGCCACCAGCCAATTCGTTGATGACTTAGCTTTCCGTGGATCTTAGATTAGAACCGGTAGACTTGCAAAACAACCCATACCCTCCGATCACGCCCGTCATCTCTGTGCATACCACGAGGCAGATGAGGCCACTGTAGCCAGCGCAATTGATGGTGCTCTTGCTGCCAAGGCTGAGTGGGAGGCCATGCCTTGGAACGATCGCGCCGCCATCTTCCTGCGTGCGGCAGAGCTAGTTAGCGGCAAGTACCGTTACAAATTGATGGCAGCTACCATCCTTGGTCAAGGAAAGAACGCTTGGCAGGCCGAGATTGATGCTGCAGCCGAGGTGTGTAAGATGGAATTATCTTGGTGGCAGTTGATTGATGGAACCTTCATAGCTCTCGGACTTCTTCCGTTTTGGCGTCAAATATGTTGAGGATCTCTACGCACAGCAGCCTCCTAAAAACTCGGCAGGAGCATGGAAGTAAGTCCAGTATCCTTTCTATGAGGCTACTTCTCACGATTGCTTAGCCGCGTCGAGTATCGTGCGCTGGAAGGATTTGTTCTCGCAGTTTCGCCATTCAACTTCACAGCAATCGGTGGAAACCTTCCAGGTGGTACGAGCGACTATTCTACTACGAGTTATACGTTCTGAATGAGTCATTTCTTAGTTCCCGCGATCGTCGGTAACACTGTCGTATGGAAGCCTTCACCGGCGGCCACATATTCCAACTACTTAATATACCAGATTCTCGCGGAGGCCGGTGTTCCAGCTGGCGTCATCCAGTTCGTTCCCGGGCCACCTCCAGAAGTCGTCGCACAGGCCATATCGCACCCCAACTTTGCAGCACTCCACTTCACAGGCAGTACCTTTATATTCAAAAAGCTATGGAAAGACATCGCCGCAAACCTAGACAAGTACAAAGGGTATCCAAGAATCGTCGGTGAGACAGGAGGGAAGAACTTCCATGTCATCCACAAGTCGGCAGAGGTCCGAAATGCAGTTTTGCAGAGCATTCGAGGTGGCTTTGAGTATCAAGGTGCGCATATTGTGCTTATGAATAGCACGCAAGATTGACAGGCATATGTGTAGGACAAAAATGTTCTGCATTGTCACGGCTATATGTCTCCTCTTCGCTTTGGTCATCTGGATTCAAAGATATGCTCCTGTCAGAGGTTGCGAAGATCAAAGTCGGATCACCGTTAGACTTCAGCAACTTCATGGGACCCGTGATGTGCGTTCTATTTCTATGCATTAGGCTGCGTAACGGTCACTGAACAGTATCGCAGAGGTCGTCCGGCGTATGACAAAATTATAGGCTACATCCAGAAAGCCAAGGATGCAGGAGGGGAGGTTCTTATTGGAGGCACCGGTAAGGCGGGTAGCATGGCCTACCTACGACTTTTCTCATGATCCTATCACAGGTGATGACTCGAAGGGCTACTTCATACAGCCAACCGTTATTCTAACCAAAGATCCTGAATCAAT